AGGTCACATAACATGGTTAAGTAAATCCAACATTTCATTTTTTACAGTGTGTGATATATTCATTCTGAAGCTGAATTAAAGCAGTAGGCTAACTTGCTAATGGTGAACATGTGAGTTTGTTTTGCGAGGTAACGCAATATTATTGCGTGGGAACGCAAAAAAAAAAAATCTCCCGTGTACCCTCACGGGTTCCGTAAATGACAAATATTTTCTTTTCTGAAAAGTAATTGATTTTTAATAAAAACATAAGTGTGGTTTTGGGTTTTGCTCCTTCCTGTCTGTTGACCAATGGGAGAGGGGTTGACTCAAGAAGGACCGCCCACTTTATTTGCATTATGAGACAGAAAAGCATTAAAGTGTAAAAGCAACACAAGGCAATAAAAAAACTTTTTGCCATTTTTATATTTCTGCTTTTATTCTTAATTATGTCATTTTCGGTTCTCCATAAAGTAAATCATAAAACAAAGAATTTTTTTTTTTACATTTTATTTAATTTTTCTACACWTTTAATGATGCTGTTCAAATAAAAACCAAACAAACAGGTTCTCTTTCCAAAACACCTTTTCTGTTGTTTTCCTTCAGGCCTTCAGTAAAACCGTTTGTCCAGGATCCTGATCTCCTTTGTTTGAGTCTTTATGAAGACCKCCCAGGACCACTGAGGCTGGATTATTTAACACTCTCCGTTTATGTCTTCCATTCATCACACAGGATTGGATTTGTTTGCGCGCGCACGTGCGTTCGTGTGTGTGCACGAGAGAGAGAGAGAGAGAGAGAGAGAGAGAGAGAGAGAGAGAGAGAGAGTGGGGAGGGGGTCTAGTTGAAATGCGCAGCGCATTCTTGCGTTGAGGAGCGGAGGCTCGTTCTGTTCCATGTTTCCCGCGCGCCACGGAGGACATCTGATCCGGTTTGGGTTCTAATAAAACAAAATCTGTGCAGCAACAGCGAGCTGCTCCTGCAGCTCCTCAGTCTGCAAACCAAAAGCAGCTCCGTTTCTGCAGGAAGTTGTTTCGCCGCGGGATCCTCCGCGCAGCGCGCGCCCTGCAGCCCGGTGGATCTGCGTGGGTCTGTGTCCCGGCGCAGCGCGGGASTCTGAGGGAGCTGAGGGACACAAAAAATGGTAAGATTTGATCTGAAAACCTGGGTCATGATGTGGATCTGAGCTGAGGCGTGTCAGGGGTGCGGCGCGCGGAGGAGGAGAGGAGCGCGCTCCTGCAGGAGGGTCCAGTCCTGCAGGAGGGTCCAGTCCTGCAGGAGGGTCCAGTCCTGCAGGAGGGTCCAGTCCTGCAGGATGAGCTGGACCTGAGCTCTCGGATCCAGGGCAGCAGGTGCAGAGGAGTCCTGCAGACCTGGACTCAACCGGGTCTGCAGGAACCCCTTCACCTGATTACATCATTTAGTGAAGAATGGAAGGTTGACCTGCTGACATCCTCTGATAATCAGGTGTAAAATATAAAATATATAATAC